TCTTTCTCTCTCATTCTCTCCCCCTGCGCCTTACCACCACACGCCCCCAATACTATGCATATTCTCATTCCTCTCCTTCCTCGCCTCGTTGTTCACCTCGTATACTCCTTCTCCATTTTCCTGCCGTGCTCCACAGCATGTTCTTTACTCCCTCGCCGTAGCTACCGTGCTTACTCAAATCCGGTCCCCGGTAGGGGCCGACGCTTTTATCTTCTCTTTTTACGTTTATCCAATTATTCCCGGAAGTTTCGATTGCTCGAAAGGAAAAATATCTCTCGTCTCCATTTGTGGATCCTAACTGAGGAAAGACGAAGGAGTTTGGCCAGGACAGCCGCGTTCCGACGAAAGATTCATCAACCTCTCCTCCGTTGTCTGTATCGTATACATGCTGCAAGCGTTGTTTGCACCGATAAATGGATAGATTGCTCAACTTGTGACCTTTGCTTAACTGCTTTGCACGGTGCGCGACATGAAAAAAGTATACAGATAATTCTTTTGCGTTCTCTTTTCCAGTCATCCTTCATTGTGCTTTCTTCCTTTTTTTTTGTTACAAACCGTTCATAACGTTCTTTCTATTCTTCGTCTTTTTGCGCATTCTTTTAGTCATAAACTCTGAATCTAAAAATCGATTATATATAACATTATAAATATTATAAAAAAATCCATTATAATATAACATTATAAATAATTGTCGACTACGGCAGATGTGATTAACTTACATGTTAGAAAGTTGTACAAATTCTGAAAAATAAATTGAATTATTTTTATTCTCTAATCATATTTATGTTTAGTGAAAGCGAGATTCTAAATTCGTAAAAGAAATACAAAATTTTTTTGAAATGTCATTTCAATGGAATCGGCCGAGAAACAGCTGTTGTCGTTGTCATTGTCAGGCTCGTTAGAGCCTTAGGCTCAGTCATTCATTCATCATCGGCAATTATTAAAAGTGGAGTCGACCGAATGTCCTGTTTCTTACATTCAAGTGTATTTTGACAAGTGATTTATGATCGGATGTCTCAGGTAGTCCAATAGCTTTCGTCGCGACTTTCTCTTTTTGTTCCTTTTTCGTTTACCCTATGTCTGAAATAGATATATAATCTCAGTATCTTAGATATATACTTCGTTTTAATTGACACAAATATCGATATTATTCGATGAAAAATTATTTTGAAACGTGGCATCGAAATTCGGAGTGGCCGAAATTATAACGGGGCTTTTTATCAGAATGTAAACGGTCGCAAGAAACATGGTGCTTTCCCCTCCCCTCTCTCTCTTACTCTCTCCCTCTCTCTCTCTTTCGCCGGTTACAAATTGAAGAGATAAATCCCAACTTCAGTTAATCATCATAAGGAGAGCGTACTCCCGGGAGTACGCGTGTCCGTGTCGAGATCGTAAGTGTTCTATCAAGGGTTTCTCTGTTCATCGTAAAATAATATCGATTACTTAATGAGCTCGGCGATGCGGCGGCGCTTCACGGGTCGCTTGTCATCCGAGTAAACGCCTCTATCTATACATATAACGTGGCTGTTTACGCGCATGATTTACGTACCCATTTATGTGCTGTAACTCGCCAGAGGTATGTCGTGTAAATTCTCGAGCACGGCGCCACCGCGACTCGCCTTATATCTTCTTTAAGCTATTCCACATTGGCTGATCCCCCATGGTCTATCTGTACTGGCGCGCCTACAATTCACCTAATCTCTCCCGGCGCATAAAGGTCATCAAACTGTGAACAAAACAATGCGACGAAAAACATATAGCTTTAATTTTCCATGTACATTCTTCAAGAGTCAAGGGAAAAGAAATTCCAACAATTTTCATCCCAAGAAACGTGATTTTATTTATTTCCCCCGTTCAAGATAGGCAGAGGTACGAGGAAGTGAGAAAGAGAGAGACAGAGAGAGAGAGAGAGAGAGAGAGAGAGAGAGAGAGACTTTTCTCTTTTATCCCGTTGCTGTCGCTATTATTCGCTGCGGGCACGGAGTAATACGGGAGCGAGGAAGGAAGTCACAACATACGGGAGATGCCAGCAGGCAAAAGAAAAACAAAGCAAGACGTGGCAATGCGAGGCAAGGCAAGACAAGGCAGGGCACGAGGCATAAGGTACGAGGTATGAAGCGGAGGAACCTAACTCCGTGCCTCGGTTTAACGAATGCGAGAATGCGGCCTGGCGCCAACGCACACACGACCGCCGCCGCCGCAGCCGCCGCATCACGCACTCTCGCCTCTTTCGCCAGCTCTCTTTTTCTCCTCCCTTCCCCTTCTCTCTCTCTCTCTCTCTGTGTGTGTAATGATCTTACCGGAGTTCAAAATATTAAATTATAACCGATCTTTCAACGTGTCTGCCTCATGTTTGGAATAATGATCATATTTAAAATATATATCAAGATTACTTCCTAATAAATAAGAGTTAACTCGTTCCGTATCTTGTAATGATTTTATTAGATATTTTTCTGTGGTGTTTCTCTTAAAACATATCTCGATATTATTCTCTGGAATATTCTATGTGTCTCGGTATTACAACAAAAGCTTAATGATATGTAATGTAATATAAACGCGTGCAAACTCTTATAAGCTATTTACTCGGTTTAAGTAGACTACTCAATTTTAATAGTACATGTTTTTAAATGGCTTGTAAGCGATCTCTCACGTAAAGTTACTTAAAGAGTTATTACCGCAAAATAGAATAAATCTTAATATACATTACCCTCTCTCCTTTTTTTCTCAGCGTCCGTATAAGTACATCGTTTCTCTCTGACGCTCTGCCTGCATCTGTGTAGCATAGCTTCGAGGTATGCAGGCAAACTCCTCCTTTTCTTATCGAGAAAAAGAAACGGTGGAGGAAAGAAGCTGGAGGAGAGCCGAGAGTGGAAGCAGAGCGAGGAAGGTAGCGGTGCGGACATCGAGAGTACACGATAGGCATTTTACATGCTGCATTGAAATATTAGGAAATAATTGCTTGACGTGGGCGACGAGGACAATCAGGAAAATCAGCTTGATCCGCGATTTGGAAGCGACTGGATTCTAATGGTGCATCGCGCGATCAATAGATTATCGTTTTTTGACAATAAATCGATTCGTCCTTTTTAGCTGCATTTTCTTTCTATACTTTTTTCAAACCTTCTTTCTTTCTTTTCTGAAAAAAAAATACAGTGTCTATTTAATTTTACATGCAAACGTAATCCTTCACATTCTTGTACTTTCTATCATATTCTTGCGCAATCCTCGCAACACACACATTCTCAAGCAAGACTTTTTTCTTGTACTGTGCAATAAATAAATGCAGATTTTTGACAGAAAAACTGCAAAGTATGATTGCAAAGTATTATACCAATTTTGCTTTTCTCTTTTACCAAAGAGAGAGTTGTATTATCAATTTCTTGGAAGTTGCGGTCAAGTCCGAATTATAAGAAATGTTTGTCTTCGCTTTTTCATGCTTCTGGCATCTGATCTTTTTTTCTCTTTTTTTTTGTTCTCTCTTTTTCATTCGTTCAGTTTACGCGGCGCCGTGCCGCGTGGTTGACCGCGAAAGGGGTAAAAGAGAAGATATACGAGAGAAGATTAAGTTAAACACGTACTGACGATCTAAATCTAGACGTCGTAAAGTTGCGAGTTTGGCTTTTCTTCGCTTCTAAATCGGATCACAATGAAAACATTTATTTTATTCAAACTCTCATTCTCTAGAGGTTTACATTGACATTCGTTACTCTCGTAACAATTGCAATTCTGCTTGATAAATATCAATCGCAAAAAATGATAAACGAGAAAAATGGTAGAGAAGCGTTTCGTTTAAACTTTTTAGTTTTTCGCTGATTTGCATTACTTTCCATTTTCTGTATTCACGTCTATTCCAGATAGAATCATAATTAAGTTATAATTTAGTTATGATATTAGGTAGTAAAAAGAAATCCATTATTTTTCCATTCAATTTCATACAAAAATAATGGATTTCTTTTTACTACACCTAATATCATAGGATGTCATATCATTTACTATTTAAAAATAAATTTATAAATAACAAATAAGGTAATGTCAAACATGATAATATCCTTATGATGTTATTATATAACTTCTGTTTTAAAACTAAATACAATAAATAAAATCGAAATGTTTCCTATATATTATATTTTAACTAATTGAGTAACACTTTAATAAACCATTTTACATTTTTGATCTAATTTTTTGCTATAAATTGACCTTTCTGTTACTGTTATTTGCATTGTAATTTTGAGCTTGATTTCTATTTTGATTTTTATTTTAATTAACTTCTGTGTTTTACTTGAGTATACAGAAAAATATCATTCTATTGCTAAGAAAAGAGATTATACTCAATTTACTTTCATTCTTTTAAATAAAGATTATACATTTAACAAAGAGAGAATATTTTCTTAATAATAATCTTAAAATTTTTCTTGATAATAATCTTACTTGTTACAAATTAAAAAAACCTCATTAGTATACTCATAAGAACTTATTTTCTTTTGAAATATATTTTTATCAAATTAATCGAAGAAACAACTTCATATAATAAACAAATCAAATTTGTTTTGATTTAATAATCTTAATTGAAGTTCTTAATCTCATGCCGATCGTAAACATAATTAAAGGATTATCACTTAGAAATGTTCCCCGCATTTCTTGTCGTGGTATTTCCAGGCGACATTGAGAGCCTCTGACGCGTGTGTTTACGGGGATTTAAAACCGGTGCCATTCCGCCGCGGCCACGGTCGAAAATTCCGACCGAATTTTTCACTTCCATCGCTCTTACTGGATCTTGTTTTCTGTATGGATACGGGACCCTTCGGGGTCGTTTCTCGGCGCAGCATAGTAGAGAGAGATCGGAGAAAAATGGGCGCCCATTGTTGGACAGTCCAGGAAGACCTCCATATCGCGGGATCCGTTCGTGATATCAAATCGTCATTAACATTTTTCCGAATATCCCAGTGAGTAAAACGCTAGCAGTTTGTCGATCGGCGGATCCGAATGGAGATATTACCGTAGATTGACAGACTACATCCGCATTAATCTCGGTTCTGGCGGTCCGCCGACATAAGCCATGTTTCGCCAATGTAAGATTAACTTTCGGGTTTAATACTTACTGCGTTTGACCAGTATTCATAGTCGGTTCTTATATATAAGTTCTTAAGATGTAAACCAATTACGGAGCTATATTAGCATCTTAAACACTGCTTAAAATACTTGAAAACGATCAACTTGAAATTTAAGATGTTAATTACTTAAGCTTGTAAATTAAATAAGAAGATAGACTGTGAGTACTGACTTTTATTTTTTTCTAATTCTTAGAAAAATATAAAGAGAAAATAGAATCAAAATTAAAGTTAATCTTATACTGATGGAACCGGACCATAATCTAACAGCAATTGCAGCAGAGCAAAAATCTGTAAACACTTGAATGGAATATCTCATATTTAAATACGAAATGATTTTGATCAGTTTCTATATTAAATTTACTATTATGTTATTTTGTATTTTATCAATTAATAAATTTTAGTATACTTGTGCTGATAAGATTTATCTGCTATATTTTTGCTAATAAGATTTGGTAGCTGAGATGTCCAATGACTATAAAATTACATATTACATCACTATATATTAATTATTATGTTATTATATCATATTCTTATGTTGAGACCGTTTTCTTCACTAAAGCGTATCATCCTATTTATACATCAACTTTGAAATGCAATAATTAAATTACTGCGTTCGTAGAACCTATTGTAAAACGTTTCTTTGTTCTAAAAAAATAAAGTTGAACTTTTGAAAAATGAATATTGTTCTTTTATCATTCAGGTCATTTTTATACCGATTCTACCAATTAGATTGTAGATTAACTTTAACCTCGGTTCAACTTACTTTTTATCTTTTTTTAATTTTTAGAACTAGAGAAAATAAAAACTGAACTAACCAAAATTAAATTAAGTTAATCAATTGGTAAAACATAAGAATTAGAAAAAAATAACAATCAGTAAATTAAATTGAAATTAAAGTTAATCTATATTGGGAGAAATTAATATTATATAATCATTTCTATCAATACAGATTAACTTTATAAATCTCTTTATAAATCTTTAATTTATATTTTATCTTTTTCTAATTATCAGAACTTTTTTTTTTCTAGAGAAAAATAAAAGTAAGTTAAATCGATGTTAAAATAATTTATATTAATAGAAATGGGCCGCTAATATCGCTCATTTGCTAGAATTATTGTATTTGCACAAGTAAAAAAAAAAACAAAGTTTCCAAAAAATAAATCTGAATGTTTTGAATCATTAAAATTTTATAGTTAATTTTAAAATACAACTTTGGAGTATTAATTGATTTTAGAGAAATAAAAATATATTATATTCTTTTTCTTTATATCTCCATTCGTTTTCTATAACCAGCACCAAAATGACAATTGTAATCATCATTCTGTTTTTATTATTCGTTAGACGTAAAATAAGAATAGAAATATTGAAAAGTACTGAAAGCGTCCAAATCGATCGCAGCCATATTTTTATCATTTAATAACTTAAAATATCGAAACCAATTAGACTTCGGATGTCTGATGCATGCATGTCCTATGTATCTATTTCCTTCAACAATAATACGAAATAATAATTAAAAGAAATAATCAAATTTTGAGTAGCTCGACGCGTTCACTTTCAATAATTTCTCAAAAATCCATAAATGGCAATCTTCATTTGATTTAAAGTTAAGAATCCGCGTTTCAAATTAGTAGAAACAACAGATATACAAAAAAAAAACCAACTTGAACCAACTCTACAATGCGCATCGTCGTGCCATCCATTGATACATTTGACAATCTTCGACGTAACCATCGTCGTGCACAACATATGGTAAACGTTCATTCGACTTCTAGTAGCTTCCGTTTAGCGCGATAAATTTTTAGTGACTATCGTCGCCACGTGTTGCCAGCATTGACCGCATCGCCACTGTCGAAATTGTCGAAAACGGCATTCTGGGTAACGTCGCGTCCCCCTTTGCGCCACCTTCGTTCAACCCAAGACATTGTGCGACGTAATGAAACTCGCGACAAGGGCCGAGCGCGAGAACGTGGTGACGGGCAAACGAGCGAAACGAGCGAACGCGCAGTGAGCGGAGTCGAGGATCAACGAACATTATCCTACGATCATTCGTTCACTTCCGATTCCACTTCTTTCCTCGCCTCGTTAGTCGAACGTGCCGAACGTACGAGAAGTCGCGACCCGAAAAGACATCGTGCCAAGGCACCGTAGCCCGAATCTGTGAGTATCCCGGATATCCTGATACCATTGTACGTTTTGTCGTCGCCATCCATCCGACGACACCTCCAAGCTTTTCATCGGAACTGAATCCGCGTGCTACGCGCCCTACGAGGATGATCGACCTAACAGTCAAGACCTTGGACTCGCAGAATCACGTCTTCTCCCTGGAAGACGACGTAAGTCGCCCCCTCTTTTCCTGATTCCGTGATCACGTGTCGATCGCCGCGGTTCGCTGCGATCGACACGCATCTATAGATGTTAGAAACATCTGGAGACAACTGAAAGAAATATACACGGCTTGTTCCGTACACTTGAATACTCCATCACCCAAGTGGATCTCTTATTTGCTTAATTATATAATGTATCTCTGCATATTCTCTCTCCCTTAAAGCAAATCACAGTACGCGGCTTTAAAGAGTACATAGCAGAGTCCGTCGCAGTACCAGCCGATTCGCAGAGATTGATTTATTGTGGACGAGTGCTTCAAGATGAAAAGAAATTAAATGATTATGGTATATATATATATATATATATTGCACACACCTACTTATATAAATAACTTGCCGCAAGTTATATGTAGTATGACAGGCATGCATTGACATAATGTTATCTTTAGATGTCAATGGAAAAGTCATACATCTGGTGCAACGTGCGCCGCCTCAGCCTGGTCAACATGGAAACGATGGTGGACAGACACAGGGGCAGGGCAGACAGGGCTGGCAGAGTTCACAGAGGCCACATTATCGAGTTACACGCACTCAGATGCATGGAAATGCGATGTA